CCCTTCAAAGTGATTTGCTAGTGGAAGTTGGGAGCCTCATTGAAGAAGGCTTCGCAAGTGGATGTAGGTCATTTGACTGAACCACTTTAAATTGGCGTGTTCATTGAATCTGTGAGTACTTACCTTTCTGCAATTGTTTCCGGTTTTTTTTTTTACTTTACTCAACTTACAATCAAAGCGAAATCTCCTTGCATTTTACGGAATCATTTTCGAACTTACAAGTTTTAATCCGCTGCACTAATTCACCCCCCTCCCCCCCCCTCTTAGTGCCGCTCAGATCCTAACACGCTTTACCATATAAGCTACACCCCCATGCTATTATTCATGTATGACATCATTTTTTATTTATCTAAAAATAAAATATAAAAAAATTCATTTGGAAAGCACAACATTGAGTGCTCTACCCTACCCCCATGATGTCCTCTATATATGACATTATTTACTATTTATCTAAAAATAAAATATTAAAAAATTGATTATGAAAATACAACATTGATATCAAATGATTAGAATATCAGTAAAATTATATATATTATATAGGATTTAAAATATTTTTAAACTTAAAATATTATATGATTAGAACAAATTAACACATATACATAGAAGTGTGGGAAATCTGAGCGCTCCACCATATGAGCTACACCCATATGGTATCATTTATTTATGACATTATCTTTCATTTATCTAAAAATAAAATATAAAAAAATTCATTGGGAAAGTACATCGAGCGCTCTATCCCCATGTTGTCCTCTATATATTTATCTAAAAAAATATTAAAAATTTGATTATGAAAAAATAATATTGAGATCAAATGATTAGAATATCAGTAACATTTTAGATATTATATAGGATTTAAAATATTTTTAAACTTAAAATATTATATGATTAGAATAAATTAAAACATATACGTGAAGGTATAAGGAATCGAACCCCGTGCCTCTCGCATGCAAAATGAATGCTTTACCATATAAGCTACACCACAATACTTTATTAATGTATGACATTATCTTTTATTTATCTAAAAATAAAACATAAAAAAATTTATTGGATAAGTACAATTGCGCTCTACCCCATGCTGTTCTCTATATATGATAGCATCTTCTATTTATCTAAAAATAAAATAATAAAAAACTAATTATGAATGTACATCATAGAGCCTCTAACTGAGATTAATATAATTAAAAAGGTATCATCACTTTGGCATGCAAAGCGAGCGCTCTACCCCCATGCTGTCCTCTATATATGATAGCATCTTCTATTTATCTAAAAATAAAATATTAAAAAATTAATTATAAAAGTATAATAGTGTAGATATTGTATAGGATTTAAAATATTTTTAAACTTAAAAAATGTATGACTCGATCAAATTAAAATATATGGAGGTGCAAGAAATCGAACCACGTGCCTCTCGCATGCGAAGTGAGCTCTCTACAATATGAGCTACACCCACATATTGTCATTAATGTATGACATCATCTTCCGTTGATCTAAAAATAAAATATAAAAAAATTTGATTATGAAAATAAAATATTGATATCAAATGATTAGAATATTAGTAAAATTATATATATTATATAGGATTTAAAATATTTTTAAATTTAAAATATTGTATGATTAGAACAAATTAACACATATACATGGAGGTGCAAGGAATCGAGCGCTCCACCATATGAGCTACACCTACATGGTATCATTTATTTGTGACATTTTCTTTCATTTATCTAAAAATAAAATATAAAAAAATTCATTGGGAAAGTATAACATCGAGCGCTCTACCCCCATGCTGTCCTCTATATATATGGCATCATCTTCTATTTATCTAAAAATAAAATATTAAAAATTTGATTGTGAAAATATAATATTGAGATCAAATGATTAGAATATCAATAATATTTTAGATATTATATAAGATTTAAAATATTTTTAAACTTAAAATATTTTATGATTAAAACAAATTAAAACATATACATAAAGGTGTAAGAAATTGAACCCCATGCCTCTCATATGCAAAGCGAATGCTCTACCAAATGAGCTACACCCCAATGCTATTATTGATGTGTGACATCTTATTTCATTTATCTAAAAATAAAATATAAAAAAAATTTATTAGAAAAGTACAACAGCGCTCTACTCCTCTATATATGATATCATCTTCTATTTATCTAAAAATAAAATATTAAAAAATTAATTATGAAAGTACATCATAGAGCCTCCAACTGAGATAAATATAGTTAAAAAAGTATCTTCACTTTGGCATGCAAAGCGAGCGCTCTACCCCCATGCTGTCCTCTATATATGATACCATCTTCTATTTATCGAAAAATAAAATATTAAAAAATTAATTATAAAAGTACAACATTGAGATCAAATGATTAGAACATCAATAACATTGTAGATATTGTATAGGATTTAAAATATTTTTAAACTAAAAAAATTATTGCAAGGAATCGAACCCCATGCCTCTCACATGCGAAGTGAGCGCTCTACTATATGAGCTACACCCGCATGCTATCATTTATATGTAACATCATCTTCCATTTATCTAAAAATAAAATATAAAAAGATTCATCGGGAAAGCACAACAATCGCATGCAAAGCGAGCGCCCTACCATATGAGCTACACCCCCATGTTATCATTTATGTGTGACATCATCTTTCATTTATCTAAAAATAAAATATAAAAAAATTATTGGGAAAGTACAACATCGAGCGCTCTACCCCCATGCTGTTCTCTATATATGATATCATCTTCTATTTATCTAAAAATAAAATATTAAAAAATTAATTGTGAAAGTACAACAAAGAGCCTCTAATAAGATTAATATAATTAATAAGGTTTCTTCACTTTGGCATGCAAAGCGAGCGCTCTACCCCCATGTTGTCCTCTATATAGAATAGCATCTTGTATTTATCTAAAAATAAAATATTAAAAAATTAATTATAAAAGTATAACATTAAGATCAAATGATTAGAATATCAATAACATTGTAGATATTGTATAGGATTTAAAATATTTTTAAACTTAAAAAATTGTATGACTAGATCAAATAAAAATATATGGAGGTGTAGGGAATCGAACCCCATGCCTCTCGCATGCGAAGCGAGCGCTCTACCATATGAGCTACACCCCCATATTATTATTTATATAGAACATCATCTTCTATTTATCTAAACATAAAATATAAAAAAATTCATTGGGAATTTTTTAAATGAATTCCTCTACCCCCATGATGTCCTCTATATATGACATCATCTTCTATTTATCTAAAAATAAAATATTAAAAAATTGATTATGAAAATATAATATTGATATCAAATGATTAGAATATCAGTAAAATTATATTATTATATAGGATTTAAATATTTTTAAACTTAAAATATTATATGATTAGAACAAATTAACATATATACATGGAGGTACGAGAAATCAAGCGCTCTACCATATGAGCTACACCCACATGGTATCATTTATTTGTGACAACATCTTTTATTTATTTAAAAATAAAATATAAAAAATTCATTAGGGGGTGGGGGGGGGGGGGGAGGGGAGGGGAGGAGGGGTGAATTAGAGTAGCGAAAAACTTTTGACGATTAAAACTGCGTTCGTACGTTGAAATCCGATTCCGACATAAAAGTCGTTTCGTGTAGATAATAACTTTGAAAGCCTACAGAAACGTATTTGAAGTAAAGTAAGGAAAGCAGTTTGTACTTAAGATAAATAGCATAAAGGAAATGCAAACCAAATTTTAGAGTGGTCGTGACCTACATCCACTTTCGGCTTCCTCCTCCGATGAGGTCATCGGTGTTTACTAGAGGCCTTCCTTCAATAGGCGAAGGCCAACCACCCTTTTATAGTTTCACTCCTTTTGACAGGCTTAGGAGACAACCATTACATAATTTTCTCTCCTATTTTGAAAGATCAAAACTTGAAAGAAAGGAGGGAGGAGAACTTCTAGCCTTACAACACTTTTGAGCTCTAAAAATCATAGCGTAAGATTGGATTTTTGGTGCCCTTTCATGCAGGAAAGGGTGGGGTGTATATAGGCCCCAAACTGGTTTGAATTTGGAGCTCAAAAATGTCATCTCCTAGATTTCCGGGGTCCTGGCAGTACTACCACCAGACTGGGAGGTACGACCGCTTGATAGAGCTCGGAGACCGAGCTCTGGCAGTGCCACCACTTGACTGGGGCGGTTCCACTGCCTAGTCTCGCTCGGAGAATAAGCTCCTGGGCGGTGCCCCTACCAGCCCTGGAGGTGCTACCGCCTGGTAGGAATTCTAGTCCGAATGGGTTGATCCATTCAGCCCAATTTGGGTCTGTTAAGAGCCCAATTCCCCCCCAGATTAAGTTAATGGGATCACCTCACATTCTTAACTTAATATACATGCTAACTATGATATTTAAGACATTAATACTGCAACTTGCTCTAGTGCGTTAATCGCTTCTTTTGGCGAGCTTCCGATGAACTTCTGGCGAACATCCAACGAACCCTTGACGATGCTCCGGTGGACTTCCGGCAAACTCCTGGACTTGCGACAATCCACTTGGCGAGTTCCGATGAGCTTCTTTGGCAAGCTCCTGGACTTCTCGGATTTATTCCCGTAGAACCTCCGACGACCGTCCGGACTTCCGTCGAACTCTCAAACCCCCAACGTGATCATGGTCTTGACTCCGGCGCAACTCCTGCTGTATTTCTTAATTCT